GTGGTAATAAGTATTGTGTATAAGTTTCATAAAATTTGGTTGAGGCTTAAGTTAGAGAATGGAAACGAAATATTCAGCAATTTTTCCATTTGTAAAGGGGCATAACTCTAGAACGGTTAAAGTGACGCCACCAAAATTCAACCTTGATCTGTGTTTTGTGGTAATAAGCATTGTGTATAAGTTTCATAACATTTGGTTGAGGCAAACTAAAGTTAGAGAACGGAAACCAATTTTGAGACGTACGTACCTTCGTACGTTCGTACGTACGTCAGACGGACAAGGGTAAAACTTAATGCCCCCTCCGCTACGGCGGTGGCATAAAAACACACAATTATAGACAAAACAATGACAAACATTAATATACCGCAATACAGAATGCTCGCAGTTACGGAAAGCAAGCTCAAAGATAAATGCATTTGAACAGGACCCTTGTCCACGTAGCAAATGTTAAGAAAACTGGTATTGTATGGCCGTTTCATATAAGCTCTAAGAAGATATGAACATGACTGGGAATGGTTGGACAATGGAGAGAACATGTTATATGAAGAATTGACCAATGGATGGCATTGATTTAATTCGATTCGGTCGTAACGGTTTTGGGTATTGCCCAGGTAAAAAAAAAGGAAATACCCAGCCAACACCAAAAGTTAGGAAAGATATATATATATATCGTTTTCAACGTAAATCCGCTAAGTTTTATCATTAACAACTAAAATAAATGAAATCTAGAAGTCTGTAAAAAATGTCCCACTGTGAAATTTACATAGCGCACTCATAATGATTTTATTTAATTCATACGATCTATTTTCACATTTTTGAATGTTATCCGATACAATTTAACTTTAAAAGATTTATTTGAAAAGAAAGGTTATATCTGGGATCAATTTCAGAATAAACTTATTGAATCATAAATTTACACTAAGATAAATTAAAATTCAGCAAAACTTAATTTCCCAAAGCTTTATGATCTGACGATGTCATGATATTTAAATGCAGCTGTATTTTATTATAAATTAAAGTTCTTTTGAACAGTGAAACTACCCTAAAAGTAATTTTAACCACTATCTATGTCACATGTCAATATATCTTAGTTTCAAATTCACTTTAGAATTAATCTAATTTAATAGTATATACATTAATCACAGCCTTAACGTGCATGTGTAGATGAATTGACAAATTATATTCATGTAATACCATAAATGATATAAAAAGTATGTTATCAAACTACATGCTTCGGTCGCGTAAGATGTACTAGTAATATCAGTTTGGAAGTTCGTGTGCACGACTGTCCCATTTTATCTACTCACGCTTATATATATTGGAAGTTTCACTGTAATTTCTCTATTTTTTTTTTAATTCTAAGTCCCTTTGTTTGAGTTGTGTGATATATTGGATGCTCAAGGTTTATAACAAAGCCACCCAAACACACTTCATGTCATGATACCGAGATTGAGTAATCGAAGAACCACTTTGTTCCTTTAAATATATTAAATAGTTTATTCATACATTGTTAATTCACATATAATAGTATCCCTTGCGGTTCTTCATCCTGTTATCACCTAGCTTTTTGTTTACTTTATACAAGATAAAACGTGTCTTGTGCTGATCACTAAATCTGTTTGGAGGTTTAATAATTAATATCCTTACCTTGAGAGATATTGATTAATATCTCATCATTTCAATTTGGATTATAAACATGTTTAGGAACCTGATGTTCAGTGGTTGTCGTTTGTTGATGTGGTTCATAAGTGTTTCTCGTTTCTCGTTTTTATACAGATTAGACCGTTGGTTTTCCTGTTTGGATGGTTTTACACTAGTCATTTTTGGGGCCCTTTATAGCTTGCTGTTCGGTGTGAGCTAAGGCTCCGTGTTGAAGGCCGTACGTTGACCTATAATGGTTTACTTTTACAAATTGTGACTTGGATGTAGAGTTGTCTCATTAGCACTCATACCACATCTTCTTATATCTACTCAGTAGCTTCTTCGAGTAATCGTACGTATTTACTCCTTATCACATCTTAATATAGTGGTGTTAAATGTACTGTTATCATGACAAATCCATTTCAATTATTTCATAGTTTTTTTAATGTTTAAAACTTAGTCTTCACTCAATACTGAAGATTTCATGACGATCTGTAGATATTTGTCACTTGTCGTGTTGGCCTTTGGTAGATGGGTGCCTAATTGACATTAAAATGATGTCATCTAATATTTTCATTAAACATCGATCATGATCTAGATATCTTTTAGTTATTTGTATCTTTCAGTTGTTGTCCCATTGACATATACCCAAAATTTCTTTCCCGTTGTACATTATTAATATTGATGGCCATTATTATGTCATTTTCTGGTTTTCGGATTTAAAAATAAAGAAATCTAAAAAAAAACATGGGACAAAATGTTGTTGCGCTGATGATTCAAGACGTTCAGCTGAGCTCATCACATGGACATTAAAATGAGAAATCTGGTTTAACCACTAAAAGACATGAAGGAAACATTTCGTTTCAACATATATCTTGATCTTTATATCTTTTGATATTAAGAATTGACATTTGTCTATCATCAGATCTTTAGAAACACACAGAAAAAAGACTATTCAATCATTGCTTACATGAAAAGGCTATCTCTTCTGAAATCATATGTCGTGTGATAAGATATGATACAAAGAACATTGCATAGTTTTGAACATGAAGTTGATAGATATATAATTTCCTATATCTCAGCCCAACGGATCCTGCTTTTATAGTTTTTAACCAATTATTTATTGCATGAAATTTTAATGATAGATGAACAAATATATGCAATACAATAACTTAAAATGCAGAAATATAAGAATACGAGTCCAAATACAGCGTGACCCGCTCGTACTATCACATTTCCCTGTTCAATGACTAGCAAAATCTAGATCAAAATCCTAAATTGGCTTCCAAACTAGTATCTAATTCACTTCATAATGAACTTGAAAACACAGTTTCAATTAAGTTGATGTGAGCACAGATTATATTTTACCAAAACTTAAACATAGCCGTAAACCAAAACTTTGACCTTGACAGACGGACGAACAGACCGGAAAACATGATACCCCTCTACTATCTTAGGCGGAGCAGTAAACGAATATGTTTACGCTATTATTGTCAGTTGACAGATATGCATTAATAGTATATGATCACAATACGATTAAATGCATCATTGATTTCATTGATTTTCTAGACAAATCAATCGCCTGTCATCCATATATTGGTTTTTCATGTCATTAATTTGTCGGAATAAATTTATTTAGATTTATAGGATTGATACTCCAGCCGTTGTACGTCGAAGTAAGAACGAGAAAACAGAATATATCAAGAACTATTCCGAAAATACCAGAATGGAGAAGTTGACAGTAATCAATTTCTTAAAGCAGTGGGCTTAAAATGTTCAGCTAGTACCGACATGTAAAACGGTACTTTTACACTTAGATTTGCTTTGTTTTTATATCTTTATCTTTAATTCCCGGACTAAGTGCTTGTGCATAATAAAACAGACTTATCCTGCTAAAAAAAACACACCTCACCCTCCTCATTGGTGAGCAGGGGACTTAAACAAACGGAAGGGGTTACTTGTAGATAAATAAATAAGTGTAATTTACCTGTGTTTGTATGTCAAAATGAACGCGCAAAAGGAACCAAAAGTTGCGCGCACGCGTAATGATTTTTATGTGCAAATGTTATGCATCGGAAATGACTACGGTGACTCTTAAACAAATATGAATTACACCAGGTCGTTTTAAGTATTTTTGTTTAAAGTTTCGAAAATCTGGGATAACCATTTGATATTCTGTAGAGTTTGGGGAGGGAAAGAGGTTGTTGAAAGTATTTGATTATGGCCTTCTAATAAATGAAAAGGAATAACTTTTCCCAACAAAATGCAGGAAAATGAACAAAAAAGTTGTGTACAAGAGCGTATAATAAATAAGTCGTAGCAACCGGTGAAAATTAATAATCCATGCCCAGATAATCATCCTGTCCCCATGGGCCATTGAAACTGACTGAGTAACTTAACAATCAAAGTTTAATTTTTTCACTGTTTTTATTTAGTTTGAATCTCCTTTTGGTCTCAAATTTATCAAGACTATTCGAATCTTTATTGTGCACATTTGTTAAAATGTTATAATTAAGCTCCGTTAAAGTTTCTAATCATAATGGTTTACATGCAATATGTTTTTAAAGCGTTTGGTTTCAACAATAAAAAGATAAACACAGGTCACAGAGCAAAACCATGTTACCGAATATTTGAGCATAAAATGCAGATCATCAGGTATTTTTGAACAAGCTTAATATATACTGCTTGTTGAATTGTTTTACAACCATTTCAGTGTAATTAAGAAATAATAGATTGCACATGTTCTCCTTGACTCATTTTTAGAACATGAGAAAATACATTTCTCAAATAATTACCTGTCATGTACAAATGAAGAATAATTTAAAGAAGTGGTCGAGAGAAAAATGACCAAGGATGCGAATATCTTTAATGAGCGATTTCAGCGATTTTTGTATCCATGCAGTTAATTACATCTTTCAACTCTTTTGTTTTCCTTTTGGTAAAGCGATATTGCATTTAAATAGAACTCTTTATACACAAAGGCTTAGCTTTGTTAAACTAAAGTGTTACAACTAAGTTAGTTTCATTTTAAGTTAGGACAATACATGAATAGAAGCGTTTCCCGATATTTTCTGTCTGACAGTTTTCCCCGTCCTGTTCAATCGTTTGTTCTAAAGTTTTACCGAGTTTCATAAGTAAATTTACTTTCGTTCCTTTTTATCTACTTAGTCTAACAGATTACAATGACTCGATGACAACAATTACAAAGCACGCTATGTTTTAAATTGTATGGATGACCGCTAAAATGAAAATATATAACGCTAATCCATTATCTTTTTAAATTCAAATTTTATTTTGATAGCAAAACTATGTACAAAAATGTCTCCAAAATGTACTGATAAAGAAATATGAAATCATACCTGATTTACCAACAGCACTCCGGCCTAATACCATAATCCTACTGTCAACTGATGACTTCCCTTTCCCATTTGAAGTCATACCTTTTGGCTTGCAATCCTGATTTTTCATCAAAATTTTTGACTTGTCAATACTATCGATTTAAAATAGCAAACAAGTGTTAAATTTATACACTGCACATGTTCATTAGGTTTTTACTATTAATCATATTTATAAATCATTCTTTGTGATATAGTCAGTTAACGAACGGTTCAACTTTACTTGTCACTTTAAAAATGTTATACAGCAGACGACTGTTTTTCTTCAGTTATCACGTGATAAATAAAGAACGAACACTATCAGTTGAATTGATGGTGTTGATTTTGTAATATACATGTTGTAATTATAATAGCACGTGGATAAGATACATTGCAATTACAACACACCTTGTTGCACTGTAGAACCACAATAATGATAGATTTGCATTGTTATGGGTGACGAAGTGCATTTTAATTACACTGACTTTGTACTGCTTTACTCATAAAATATTTAGTCAATTTCACGTGATACCTATTACCAAAGGACAGACATAACCATGTAAAAAAAAACCCCAAAAAAAAGAACATGAAAAAAACCCAAAGTAATAAAATACTAATTAATGTAAAAGCAAAAAATCCCATATGTAAATCAAAGATCATCAAATTAGAAAAAAATAATACAACATAAACCGAAAAAAAAACCTATACAATAATAACCACAAAATTAATAATAATAGACAAAAAAAAACAAGTATAGTCTACACATGTACAAAACATTGGTCAGAAATCTAACGATATAGACTGAACACATGTAAACCCTGTAACTTGACTTTGAATTGAAGCCTGTTTTGAAAAAGAAACACAAAATGACATTCAAAGAACATGTACACCCTTTTGTAACCACTATAAACAATGTAGCAATTTGATTCCGATTTTATGTGTAAACTTTTGTAACCCCGTAAGCAGACATAGGAATTTACTTTGTTTTAACGAAAAAAGTAAATGAAATAATTTAAAATATTAAAATATAAGGTAACAAGAATAAACTTTTGTATATCACAGTTAATGTTAGTTTTTATATTCAGATTGACTTAACTACAGTGTTACCAATAAAACCAATGTAACCCATCATTTACAAATTATAACCAAGTTTTGAGTGTACCCCGATGTTATCATTGCAAAGAGTAGCATTTGTAACCCTGTAACAGAACTTGGGAATGAATATAGAAATAAGAAGATGTGGTATGATTGCCAATGAGACAACTCTCTACCAGAGACCAAATGACATACAAGTTAACAACTAAATGTTACCGCACGGCCTTCAACAATGAGCAAAACCCATACCGCCTGTTTTGAAGCCTGTTTTTAAATTAAAAAAAATTACAATAATTCTGGTTTTAAGTAAATCGATTTTAAACAGAAACGGCCATTAAAATCTGAACAGGTCTTAAAAATCCTCATATAGCTCTTCAACTGTTTCGGTTCTTGTACATCATTGGCTTAAATTTCAAATATTCGGCTTTCAGTGTTCCTCATGAAGGTTAATCCAGAAAAGCGCTTCAGACGTATAATAATTTGTAGTTTTGTTTTCATTTTTTTTTTCTGGTAAGCAATCTTCAGTCTTTCAGCTAATTTTCAGACTTATCCACTTTTCAGACACTTCGTTTCCATTTATTTAAGATCCGTTCAGTCCATTTTCAGATTGTTTATTAGTTTTATTTACCTGTACAAAACAGCATACTGAAAAGCTATCGAATGGATTGACTGCAGGCAAAATGTTTGAACAGTGCTGAATTTACAATAAGAAAATGCATAAAAATATTACTCTTAACACGACTTACCGATTTTAGGTTTAGACTTATTCAGATGATGTTTAAAATATTAAAATGATCGTTTAAGACTAAATTTCCTTCACTGCAACCAATTTTAACCCAACAATTTTCGGATTCTATCCTTACCAAGCAGTAACCGTGGGTTTGTAACCTTGTAACTCGGTGAACGTTGTGTCTGTCCCATGCCAGGAGCTTAGCTGTAATTCAGGGGGTGTCGTGTGTTGTTGTATATCATATTATTTTATCGTTTATCGTTAGGTAAATCAGGACGATTCTTTTCTCGTTTGAATTGTTTCACATCTGTAATTCGGGGCCTTTTATAGCTTACTATGCGGTATGGGTTTTGCTCATTGTTGAAGGCCGTACGGTGACCTATAGTAGTTAACTTCCATGTCATTTGGTCTCATTCGGAGAGTTGTATCATTGGCAATCATACCACATCTTCTTATTTTTATACTGGGGAAAAAACAAACCAACATATATATTGTAAGTGAATGTAACCCTTGTAACTATTTCAACTATTGTAGCCCAGGAGTTTGTTGCATCTTGTTCTATGTGTAACCCCTTGTTATAAAAGGATATTACTTTGTAACTCTGAAACTAGATTGGAAGGTACAAAACTTTTAGAGTTCCTTAATATGTACTGAGAAATAAAGCCTGTATTGAAGCTTAAAAATAGTAACAGTCGGTTAACCTAAGAGTTACCCGTGTAACCCTGCAACTGGATTCAGAAATAAAGACGTGTTTGAAACTTAAATCAAAAAATAAAATACAAATACCATTGTTATTATAAATTATAATTTGTTCCATCTGTCTTTGAGATTAGAATGGATGATACACATCCCAATAAGCATCATTTGACACATATATAAATCGACATCTTTTCAGACTTTAAACATGCAAAGTTGATGATCATCTTTTATAAAGAACACAAATTTCGGACATATGTTATAGATTTGTTCCATTAAATAAAGTAGCTAACATAGAGTGAACTATTTTAGTTGTAATATACTAATGCAGTGTAGGTTATTTAATGTACAACTATCATAATAAAACTATAACACTAACACATGCTTCATTAAAAACGAGCATGCAAATATAAATGATTATAAAGAAGATCATAAAATATTAGCTCTATATGTTTAGTTATTTACTTCCATGCCAATATTTATCATTAATTTGCTAAACTCTGATGTTTTATTTATTGCCATGAACTTCGTGCTTAATTTCGAAACATACACTATTATAATTAACCTGCATTTAACCGTAGATAAAACAGGAATCTCGGAAATAATTTGCTCAATAATGATTTGGTTTACACACTATTACAGCTAGAATCCCATTTTTAAAAAGCTTTTACCAAACATTTTACAAGTCGCCATGCACAAATTTCCCAAAAAAGCATACTGATACGGAATATCATAACACCTCCTTGCTATTTACTCAGAAGGTTTTAGATATAGTTTTACGTCTTAAATAATACTTCGTATTTGAATGAAACGTACAGGTGCCGATTGTCTAGTCTTATTAGGGTTGTCTCTATCTTGTATAACCCTCATCTTTCAGCAGCAGTCCAAATTTCCCGGTCGTCGTTTATCTTGCAGATCCTACCTTTTGTATTCATTGTTAATTCATTTTTTAATTTTCGTCCGGAAAATGCATAAAGTATTTGCCACTGGACGTTAAGTAAACAACAATCAGTCTTTCATTGCCCAAATGGCTTAAATTTCATATATCAAAGTCATCTTGGTGTCCTCTTCTAGTCTTAAACTCGTGTACAATGTAAGAATAATTGTTACCCGAATTGTTTGTGTGTAGACCTTTCGGTGCACTTGCTTGCGATATTTGAGGTGCAGCACGAGTAGCTCTAGTGCATATTTACAAGCATGTTGAATCTTAAAAAGTCTTTCAATCTATACTTTTCCTCACAGTGTTACGCCTTTATTTGTATATATATTGAGTGCTGACAATTCAAAATCGGATATTTCTGATCATTCAATCAAATTACAGATACATGAAGATGGCTTCAAGCTGCAGTTTTTAATTTGACAAGAAAACAAAAGGGAAGCTCATTTCAAAGCCAAAATAAAGTTTCTGTCGAAAGTAAAGCTACGTGTATGTATTGTCTCCCAGATACAACCTCGTTTTGTGTCAAGGTACCCCTCAACGGATTTAATTAAACACATAGAATTGAAGAATTGACAATATTTGAAAAAATGTGTTTAACATCACTGACTGAATAATGTTTTGATTTTATGGATATGTAAGTTGAAAATGTTTAAAACTCTTTCCTAATTAACTTTCTGGTATTGGCTTCGAATGAAAAAGATATGGAAAGTGGCCAAACCTTCCCACAGGATCAAAATCTTAAAACATTATTTAGATTTATGTACAATATTGTTGATAGTCTATAGTATGAGTATCCGGTAAGATGGGGGTACATACCTATTGACATGGGTAGATTTTAATAAAGTTATCTTATACCCACCTGACAGCGAGATAATCTCTTTAGATGTAAGTTTATTTAAACTTGCATTTTTAGCATTTCACACCTATCAGAAACTAATAAGGGACTAATAGTTAAAGTTCGAAATCGCAGATAAGATAGAATGTAAACAGTAAATTATTTAATTCATTCATAGTTTATAGATTAGGCCTTTAGTTTTCTCAATTGAATTGTTTCATATTTTTCATGTCGGGGCCTTTTATAGCCGACTATACGGTATTTTTTTTTCCAATTGTTGAAGGCCTTACGGTTGCCTTTAATTGCTTACATACACTTCATTTGAACATTAGTGGATAGTTATTTCATTGAAAATCATACCATATCTCCTTATTTTTATATAGTAGTTGTAAAAAATATTAGAAGAAAAATCTGTGTAGTATATTTTGACACAAATAGTAATAATTTCTTACTAGCAGGAGAATTTAGTTTTCGAGTATTTATAAAGTGCAAGTGATGTTTTGAATTTTAATTACGCCTATGCGATCGTTTCCTCGGGTGTTATTTGTTTGTATGTTGTTGTTTCTCTTTGTTAACGATTGAACAAACTGTCATGCACATCTCGGCAACATGATATTACTTTTAAAGTAATGCCCGAGTTTTGTTCTAAGCTGTAATTGTTCCAATACCAAATGAATATTAACGTTGAAAATGTTTGAAACTCTTTCCTAGTGTTGGCCTACGGTGGCCCATAGTTGTTAACTTCTATGTCATTTGGGCTCTGGTGGACAGTTGTCTCATTGGCAATCATACCACATTTTTTTTTACTGAAAACAAAATTAAATCTTTGTATTCGTTAAGTACACTTTGCTATCCCAGTATTTCGTAATTTCTTAAAATTCATTTACAGTAAATGTGTTCCCCTTTATCGAGTTTATACAATACATCATTTTCACTATATCAATATTGAAGCCAAACTCAGAGAAAATTTGTTTTCATTCTAAAATGTAGTAATCTCTGACTTTATTATC